ATCACTTCCCATCCGAGTTTAAATCAAATGCTCTTATACGCTCATTTTATCCCGAGGCTTGCCTCGAAACCTAATTCCTATCCAACTCCAAACTAAATATTCAATTGTATTGCCCCAGGAGACCGATTTTCCCCCACAGATCAATTTCCTAGTCAAGGTCACGCAAAGTTGAACAAGCAGTGCTTACCTTATGCTCTACTCTCTTTTAATGCAGAATTCCTGGGCAGACGGTACGATAAATTCGTCATTATTGTAGACGAAAGTAGGATTTTGAAGAGGTGTTGAGATCCAATCAACGTAAAGGACCTAGAACTTGCAGAACGGGAACCTGGTTTTGCACTTTCATTTCCACATGTCTCAATGACGGCCGACTTAACAATGCCAACGCTCCTCACCTCTCCTTGGAGAGAAGGATAGAGTTAGGGAGTAGTGGCAGGCTAGCCCATATGATCTTTCTGTCCATACCTCGCAAACGATACCTTCGATGGCCACGGTTACTCTCTTTCAAGAAGCAGTTGAGGCTGGGAAGCGCATCAACCGTAGCGCGGTTTCTCTAGTCTACGTGCTTCTCTAGCTCCCCTTTGTCGGTCTCTTCCATGTTATTTCATGCTTTCATACATGCTTTATATAATAGAGATAATTTGAGGATGTGAAAACTCCACTCTACTTGTTGTGTAGATTGGTGGGTTGCGAATGTTTACTAGAAACTAGACATGCAAGTTTTTCTTAGAAAATTACAGGATGAAAAATGGTAAAATAATTGTGACCCGAGGGAGTTTGTCTCGACTAGGTAATAAATCGAGGGAAACACAACTCTGGTAAGAGGATTTGCTCCGTGAAGTAGTTACGATATTTCTCAGTGGCAATGCGGAAGTAGAAATAACTGCAAAGCATTGTTCTCCTCCAGACAAGGTCATTTGCAGAGACCGGAGATCTGTATCTTGAAAGTATTAGCGTAAATGCCTCAGCTTTTTTGAGAAAGTGTTCGCTCAGCAAAAGATGCGCTGCGAGCGATAGCGCCGCACCTTCGCTTTTCCCGCTTCAAGACCATCTACTTGCTTGGCTACATTAACCTCTCTCCCGGGGACAAGGGAAAGCTAGGGTATTTTCTGAAATGATACCAGTCTCGATTCGAAGTAAAGTTGAAGCGAGCACGACGACTATACACGGTGTGCTATTTGCACGTTTCATTCAGATTGATCCCCTCCCAAATCATGCAAGCCTTACATTCCACAGGAGATTCCGTATATGGCATCTTACAAGTTTTTTTAAACATGGGGTAGCCTTGCCTTAATTTATGGACTGTCATCGCCAGACCACTGCTTAGGAAGGGATCAAATCCTTAAAAACTGCGCGAAATTTCTCCGCAGGGAGGGACTTATCCTTGTGTACAGAATTCGCTTTATGCGAATGTTATCCTGGTATTTTCTTTGAATCGAGTGCACCACCCTTAAGCAAGCAACGCTTAACAATGCGACAAACACCACAGAGTTGATCCATACCTCTAAGGTAGCTTCGTCCCAAAAAGTGGAGGCAGCTCCTGTGTGAAGAAAAGCTTTCGCTCTATGGCAGTTCATCATGGAGAATATCGATTTGATTACTCAAGACTCCAGGTATCCTTAAAGCGGTCCATGATGCCTCTATAACTGGCCTCCTCGACGGGAAAGTGTACTCAATCTGCAGAGGTCAATTTGTTAGCAGAGAAGCACGAGGAGACACCAGGGATGATAAGTAAGTGCCGCTCACTAGATAATCAAATTGAATTTCATCCCCTTGACGCAGGAAGCAAGCGACGTGGAATACATGGGCAATGACCTTTCCTTTCTCCGCCCCATTACCTGGGCAAATACGCGTGGCTCCATTCTTGGATTTGAACCGTGGATTGGTAGGGACTCATAGCAGGGTTTTTGCCGCTGCACCAGTGATGATTCAATCTACTGGAAGAGGTGTTGATGAAAGGTATGCAATGGATGTTGTTTGCAAATCTTAGACTCAAGCGGTGTTGATCCAGCAACCTTGCCAGCGGCAGCGTTCCCATTGAGCCATTGGCAATTTGCCATAGTGGAAGTGGTGAGCATCCACCACGTTGCCTGCAAAGCTTGCGTCACACACGGGTTTGAACCTTTGGTGCACCGTCCCATGAGCGGCATCGCTACCACTGCACTAAGGAGCCCTTCTTATCGACGGTGAAAAGGTTGTAGAGAAAAGGCAATAACCCACGAAAAGTTGCAAACCTTTTGACATCTAGTAGTATCGATCCCGTGACCGATCCAACACCAACGTGGACCGCAGGCGCTACACCATTGACGAATCAATGCAAGGCGCTTCCCTTTCCAACACCCTGCTTTGACCCATGCAGCCTGGCAGTTTGGATGTGGCCATCTCTAAAAGTCCTCCGGAGGACTTTTTAGATCACCACAGCTTCGTCGCACAATTGCGCTGTTAGGGCGCTAATCCTCATGGCCTGCAACCATCGACCCCAGTTGCCAACGCTTCCCACCCACCGCGAGAGATGGTGAGATCAGCGTGCTCTCTCAGACGTGCTCTCTCTCGCGTATTTTGTCTTCTTTGACCGCCCTTTCTCGCCATCGTACCACATCCGACCTTATTGAAGGTTAAGGCCTTAATTTCAGCGTTCCAAAGATTTCTCTTGCTTTCCTTCCACTTTCAGGTCGTTCCGCAGCTAAGCTATCACTACGAAGCGCTCTTAGCACCAGTTTAATCCCGGGTTTGCCTTTAACTATCACTACTTTATCTTGAAGTGATCCTTCTATCAGTTACAGAACTCGCGTGTTAGAGTACACTCACCGGCGATGCCTTACACTGGACAAATTGCGTAACACCTTGAAGCTTGCGTTCTTCTGAAACTGAATAAGAACTTCACATTAAGTGAAACTCGCTGCACACATCACTATGTAATCAAATGGAGAAAACATTGTCACTTTCTTCTGGTGAATCGGCGCAATGACTGGAATGAAATCTTGCTTTTCGCTTTTTCCTCTGACAAAGTGACCTTTTTAGAAACGACGCGATTGTAGACCGCCATCGCAGCAAAACCTTTTTTCTGATTCGTTTCTCAAGCACTTTCTAGTGCTTCGCGATATGTTCACATCACCGTTATTGATGCCGTTGTGCAGATTCCAGTCATTCAGTGGGATCATTTACAGTGGGGCTTAGAAATGACATTGGCCAAACTTGAGACCTTGAAAATATATGAAATATTAATATTCTAATCGTGAATCACTCTTACGCAAAGTGCAGAAACGTTTGACTATGGAATTCTAAGAAAGCCTCCTGAAATATCTCCCTGTTGTCTGAAATATCTTCTATTGAAGCTAGTGCTTTCATCGATCCACTAAAATCTTGAGCCAGGTGGCTGAATTGAATCCCGGGGAAGACGAACCATTTGGCGAGTTCCGCGCGCACTTGAGGATAAGGATTCTGAAGACCGACAAAAATTCTAAAAACGTCTTCTTCGGAATACTTATTCTTTCTATCTGCATTCACCGCGACAGGGTTAGAGTCAAGAATAAGGGTGCTTGGCATTATTGAATACGAATTTCTTCTTTAATACTTAAACTTTGAGCTGACTCCTCCTGTACAACAAACACTTTTTTACGCGGACCATCTAAAAATCGCAGTAAAAACAATAATTAATACAAAACACACAGGTTTGAGGAGCAGAATTAATAGGATGGAGGGAACGAACACTTCAACAAGTTTTAGCGAAACATCGTTGGAAAAATTCAAATTTTCCAGCTAAATTTCCCGACTTTTTTTGGATAAGAGTCATACGTCAAATTTTCGACTTGTATTGGTCTGAATTGCGACATTCTTTTCATTATCAGCGTGCATGTGTCAAAAATGAAAGAATGCCAACTTTATAAATTAAATTATATAGAGCGCAATATATGGAAAAGTTATGAAGAGATTGGCAAAATACCCGTAAAATTTAAAGTTATAGAACACGAATGTGAATGTGGTGCGAAATGGGCCGGCAGTAAAGAAAAAGGAAAAGAATCCGTCGAAAACGCTTAGGTTAAGGGCTCACTCACCTTCCTAATCGGCTGTGCTAAGGGAATGAGAGACTAAGCGCGGAGAGGAGAGTATGAGGCGAGAGAGCGCTACAGATGAGAGAGCGCCAGACAACAGCCTGATAAGAGAAAAAAGTCTGCAGCTTGGGCAGCTTACTTTGCAAGGCCCAAGCGCTCTTGTCGGTTGGTTTCCGTGCACGGAACGCCACATTTGTGATTGTCCTCTAGGGGTCTATACTACAGACCGAAGAGAAGCGTTCACACGACCTCTGCCTGGGTTGTGCCTTTAAGTTATCAATGAGACCTCATCGTGACATGGCAATGAATTATTCTAGAAAAATACTCTTTCGATCGTGTCGAGCAGGAGAAACGAAGCAAATACCACCCGTATGTAATCGTATGTCGGTCAAGTCCCTACGTACTAACCTTGGCATGCTTTCTTTCTCCGGGACTAGCCATGGGGTATCAGCATTGTATGGGATAATAAGGCCAAAACTTAAAGGAATCTTCCGCGGAAAAAGCTCCGCCTCCATTACCACAGAAAAACGATACCTTAGGCCCCTAGCCTCATGAGCATAGCAAAAAGAACGGAACATAAGCGTTAGTTTCGATAATACTAATCCTACACACAAGACAAAATGATCACTCTTTCCGTGGAAGATTCCTTTAAGAACATCTCTATTGCAAGTCACTGTATTATAAGACAAGCCCTTATCTAGACGTCACCTTGAATAGAAGGCGAATGCGTGGCACTCTCTAGATGAAACCTATGAATGTCTATCGCCTTATAATTTTTCACTAGGACACAATAACATCATCCACCTCTCCACCCTTCTTCGGGCACTTTCTGGTAAATCGGTTATTCTCCTCAAAAGTAGAGGTGCGAAATGCACGGTGAGTGAAGAAAAAAAGGAAAGCAAATGCAGAAATAGCACAAATAGGGAAAAGTCTTCCTTGGATGGGTGGCGAGCTTACGAGATCGGCAGAGACCAGATTCGGAGATTAGGCGCCGAAGGAAACAAAAGGGACAAGAACGTATAGCGGATTCAGCGAAACAGCGGGAAACACTCCGCATAGGCCCTTGCAAAGTGAACAAGAGGAGCATCAGTTATACATTTATGCCGTGAGATCAGCATATCTGATACCTTTCTGAGTAGTACTATACCACTAACGGGAAAAATTCACAGTAAATACTTCATCGGGAACGTGTCTCGTTCTCGTTTGTCGTTCCCTGACACCTGAATTTTTGGCCCTTATACGAATCCATTTACACTAATCGGGACTTTCGTACTGTAGCTGAAGCATTCCCTTCATATCTGAGTGCCTCTCCTACGGCATCCAGGGAAAATCATCATGATACATGACTTGGCTCCAGAGCTGAGCAGGAAGAAGCGAGTGGCGTGGAGAGCATGCATGAACATCGAGGGTGTAGCGATGAAGGTGAAACACCAGGCTTCAAGCCCTGCCCTTCGATTCATAGTCCTTCCTGCCTCAACCTACTACCTCAGAGACTTGGACTCTGTGCAGGCAGGACGAGCATGCGGTCAGCGTTATCCAACGCACATCTCTTGATTAGAGAAAGCTAGCATTTCCAGCCCTCAGGTTAGTGAGCTTAGGTCCATGTCAGACTGCGAATTCGTGGATTCGCTGGAGAAATCACGGGGTGCAGGGCGTCGCACCACCGGTTCGAACGGTGTACAAGCTGAACAGCATTTAGAAGTGGTGGAAGTCTCTCGTTCGCACGTTGACTTTTGGCATTTTAACAGATTCGAAGGCGTAAGCCCGGGAAAGTGGCTGGAATCAACGTGCGAGCGATCCCGCCACTTTCAAACATTACTATCGGATCGCTCTCAAATCACAAGTTGCTAGCGAATACACGAATTTGCAAAGTCTGACACCGGGCTTGGATCGTCTCAGTATAGCCCCTCGTGTGTGTTCGCGCCGAGCTAGGAGCAAAGCTGTTACCGCGTTACAGTCGTTCTGCATGTCCCGTTGTGGCCATCTGCGTCCTCTACAAAAAGCAGTTTCCGACTCTGTCTCCATGTTTGAATGAGCCATTCTACTAGCTTCAAAGCGAGCAGTGCTTCAAGCTTCACTAACAATATTATAACGCTCTAGCATGACAAGTTGTAGATGTAGCTCGTACTTACAATCAGGCCAACGTTTTAGGCTTTGCTTCTAACCTATATAACGTAAATCATCGTTCGCTTTACTTCTTAGGTTGAGCGACCTGTTTCTCACATAATATAACGCTATACCTAGTATTGAACAAAAATTCACAGGAGTCATCAAAATACTGTAACGGGCCGCATGTACGGTCATATGTACGTCCTTTTTTTCCATGCATACTTTTGCTTCGTCAAAACATTGAAGGATTCACAAAAACTTCCCCTCCAGACTTTTTCCTGAATCTCAAGCAGTTAGAGAGTTAAAAAGTCTAAAAGCATATATTAGGATGGTAAAAGAAAGTCCTGAGCCGATTTTTTGAAAGCTCCAGAACTTTCGCTTATTGGTCGATACCTAGAATCTGCTACGTGATAGACTATCGTTGTCGATCATACTTCTCCGCAATAGGTATATATTGCCGGGTTGCCTTCTTTAACTTTAATAATGATGGTGATTCCACAAGAACACTTTCGAGCGATCATCTTCAATGAATCGCGCTGCGGCACAGGAGCAGTGGGAACCGTCAACATTATCAGCATCGCATTGGGAAGGGTCACCACTTCCATCATCAGTGCCAAGCTCTGGTTCGCAGGCTTCGAGGGAGGAGACACGGCTTTCAAAGAAAAGACAAGGTTGGGAAGCCCACAAATAACGGAAGACTCCACCGTTCTCGGCCGGCCGGTACCTTCTGTTCCTTCGTCGCTGATTGGCGAGACTCCACCGTTCTCGGCGCTGTCGAAGAGGATCCGGACGTTAGCACCCGCAGCCTTGTGATAAGACTCGGGTGCACCCATCCCACAGTCCTCGGTCCCCTTCACGACCTCGCCACAGGAAAGTGGTGACTCAATGGATTCCTCATGTCTTGACCGATAGCACGCGGTTCAGGCGGGTACCCATTTGTCAGTTTCTCCTTCTTTGCCCGCACCGAAAGGGGTTTTTGGAAGGCGTGATTACGAGAGATGAGAGTGGGGTCCTATACGATTCTAACAAGCACGGTGCCGTGTGGCTCCCTCGAAGAGAGGGCCTGCCGACACAAGCAAAATCGGACCTTCACCCCAAAAGCTGTCTCCTTTGCTACCTCTGGGATTCGTGAGGAATGCTGTACTATGATATGCTCCCGTAAAGACATACCGCTACCGGCAGCATTTACGCCAGTCTGCTCTAGAAACTAGCGGACGCTGTTCAAGAAAAACGACCGAGACGAACTTCTGTCCACCTACTCCACGATGACGCCAGGCCCCACAAAGTTAAAGAGACCCGTGCAGAATTGGAAGAGCTGATCTGGGACGCGGTTCCCCATCAACCCTATTCCCCTTACATTGCCTTCTCTGATTATCACTTACTCTATCCCCTTAAGGGATCCCTAGCGAAGAAAGAATTCACCAAAGGTAAAGAAGTTGGAAGAGCGGTCAGCGATTTCTTTGACTCTCAGTCTGCTCTGTTCTGGGAGAAGGAAGTCGCTGAACTGCACATTAGGTGGGACTCTGTAGTGGGTAGCAATGGTGATTATATTGTTGGGTAGATTCCATTCTACGTGGAATAAAAAAGCAAAGAACAAAAAAGTGTCAAACGGCTCAGGACTTTTTTACCACCCTAATAATATCAAAATCTGAAGCTTTTCCATCGAGTGAGAAAATGAACGAAAAACCTTTAGGGTTTAGTGCAGGAGATCATTGTGCAACGAGCTGCAGAGGCCCTGCCCAGTCTTTAGAAAATTGTGAATTATTTCGAATAGCGTTCATTTCGCGGCTTGAATTGACAAATTCGAAAATTTCGACGATTGTCTCTCTTTTGCTTCTGGTTTCGCATTTGCCCTAATACAAACAGAGACATGCAACAGTAGAAACGCAAATGTACAATAATTTAATGACTGAAAGACCAAATTCCGCTGGACGGCACCACCGCCATTTCTCAGAACCCGAGAAATGGGACCCCTTCCTTCCCCGCTGATTTGCGCATTGATGCGACTCTTATCGCTGTGCCCTCCTCAACATCACGCTCTCTCTGCTATCTAATCAATCCCACGTATAGATCTGCGGCGAGTGATCAGCTGGTCGGTGGGCGGAGATCGCCAGACCCGCCAACTTTGAGGCATAATAGGTCGCCGAGGTCAAATTTTTCGATGCGAATTGCGCATCAGTTCGCACCCTCAGGAGGTCCGTGGGTTACTCAACTAGGTGAATTACTTCTTCCTCGACCTCCATTCTAATCGTAAAATCCTCCTTCGCATATATTGATTTTGAAGCACGGGATGGTTGCAAGCAATCGCGCAAGGATCCGCATAACAAGCACGCGCTCCAGCTGCAAGTCGGGCGGCCGTACCCGAGGCTCGGTGGGCCCGCCCACTTCGAGGGAGCGTTAGACCCTCTTCCAACGCCTTTCAAAGATAAGTTTTCAAATCGGTGACATTTCCTATGAACATGACGAGGGCTAGTGCAGGTTTCCACCCCTTAGTGAGGATCGAATGGTTGAAACCCTGCTGGGACTGCTGCCGCCTTTAAGTACGCAGATGAATCGTATCGTTCTAGACAAAATTAGAGACATCAGGGAAACAGAGTGTTTGAGTATTCCGCGCAGTGGCTCACTACTGAACAGTCTTCAGACCGGGTTTGAATGAACACGGTACACATAATAAATTTCGAGCCTACGACCTCCACTTGCTGCGCTCGTCGCGCAGTAGGCCTCCTGCACTAGAGGCGTTGGCTTCTACAAAATCTGCGTTTCAGTCTGCATATATTTCACTTTTCTGCCTTCTGTGTTAGTTCAATGTCACCCTTCTCTCTCACATTCGGAACATTCAGGACTCGAGAACGAACAACCTTGTGCAGGAAACGTCGTTCGTACAACCCACACCGCAAGTGCCGTTCGTACAACCGCGACCACAAACTCCTTCTGTACAGCAGCAACCACAAGCACCATTTGATCAACGACAACTGCAGACTTCATTCAACCAACGGCAACCGCAAACCTCCTTCGAACAGCCGCAAACACAAACTGTGTTCAGTCAGCGACAACCGCAAACGCCTTTCACACCTGAGCCAACTGCGTTCACCCAGGCACGTTCTGATTGGAAAGCAATTGAAAAAAAAAATTTGTACGCATCTTGAAATTGTGGTGAATCCCCGCGTGGGGAGTTCACAATGTTTAGTTGGCCTCTAAAAACCCCTGCTTGATGAATGGTTGGCTTGGGTTATGGATTACGACGCGGGACTATTGCCTTTGGCGTGTTTCAAGATTTCAGCTTCCTGGGATTTGAGTCTTTTTCTGAGCTATCTACCTGCCCTAATTGCTTCCACAGAACCGCCTCATTGAGACTTATAGCCCTCCGTTCCGTGCCCCTTGAGCAGGATCACTCCTTGCGTCGGCACTTTCCCGAAAAATGAAACTCCACATTGAGGAGTGCTTTCGGTAGGAACCCCACCACCATCATCAAATGGAGAAGGGTTCCCCGCACACAGCAACATGCCTGTTTAGCTATATTAGATTCTGAGACCAGTTGTGAGGAGGGTGGGGGGAGAATGGTCAGGAAAAAAATTCGCACATGTTACGCTTCTTTGTATTTTCGCCCAAGTCGTCAAAAACATGTCAAAACAGCAACCTCTCCCTTAACCACGATCCCTCCTGCTTCCACAATTATTTCCACAACTTCCGTTCGCAATTCTTCAAGAAATGGTTACCCTGGTCGACCCCAAATACGATCTCTCCCTCCTTAAGACGCAAATACGACCCCATGCCGGTTTTTAAACCAAAGTACGGTTGACCCTGCCTTGAGCACTTCACTCATGTGATCGTTATTAGATCAGCTAAGGTCCAAACGCAAGTAAAAGCCAGCTGAAACACAAATATATTGGTCATTTACGAGGTTTTCCCGAACCTTGATACCAAGAAGATTTCAGGCGGCCGAACCGTCGACGACTCGCATGAAAACAATCATACCTCTCACAGGTATGGAAATCATACATCGACGTGGGTTCATGCCCCTTCAGTGTGGAGCACGTACTCACGCCCAGATGCTTGGTTTTTACTTACACTCCTTTTATTTTCTCAGCACCATCCACTCCTAATTTTTTTACGCATGCACAATGGGTATCCGGCAGAAATATCGACCGTTCGGGTCGTGGAGAAACTGAGTCCATTCTCTGAGCCTTTGAATATGTCGCAAAACTTAAGAAGCTGAGGCTCACTTATGATTCTATTACATTCACTGTATCACGGTTAGGCTTAAGATCATAACACTTGCTTTTTGTTTATTTTCTTTTCAATCTACATAGTCTCATTGCGGAGCTTTTCTTCAACGCCCTAGCGTTACTCGCGCAGTCGCAGGGTTCCTCGGTAATACAACA